CTAGGGGTAAATGTATCTGTTTAACTATCTAGCATAGTTAAACCTAATTAAATGCATAACGTGTGGGGCTTTCGGCCAACGTACTGAGAGACCTTGTTAACTCTCAAACTTATGTACTGAGAGTTTGTTAACTCTCCGGGTACTTCAAAAAAATACCCCTGTGTGTTCCACACCATGTAACCCCGTTACAGTTATCGTACGCCGTGAATACTGTTATTCGACTTGTTTAAGTAACGTTAAAGTTGCAAAAAACTCGTGGCTGCTGGCCCACGTTTCTGTAGCAAGTTAAGGAGACGATACTGGATTGCGGAAATTCTTCAGCCGATTTACATAAGGACGTATGCTGTCGTGGTATTGTACGGCATATTCAGTATGCGCACAGGGTTCGAGTCAAGGGACAATAAACTGTAAAGTCGCTGAATCTCCGCAAAATCAAATCGTCTGTAAATTTATCGGTACCGAAAAAGCCATCGATAGCTAGACCGACACTAAAAACATATTCGTATATGCAGTAGAGCTTACGCTTGTGATAAATCTGAGCCCAATTAGGCTTTAATGCGTTGATCTTAATTAGATATTCTCTTGTTTCACGACGTTTTAAGTCTTTGTCTGTCAAGGCTACAGTCAGCCCATCGGTGTAGGATAATGCGTCCTACAAATGTCCTAAGCTGTCTTTTTGGTCCTGAACGTTTTTTTCATTAATTCGCAGCTCCGTCCTAAAAATGATCTAATCCTGTCGTTTTTTGTGAGATGTCTCCACCTCCAACTCACCACCAGCTGCGCTCGTCTCGTTCCCAACTGAAACCAACTCGTCACCATGTGTGCCCGTCTCGTTCTCATCTGAGACCAGCTCACCACCAGTTGTGCCCGTCTCGCTCCCAAATGAAACCAACTCACCACCATCTGTGCCCGTCTCGCTCCCAACTGAGCCGGACTGGTCTGGGCATACTTGAGTGCTCTCCACGTAAGAAGCAGACGCCACACTTTGGCTCATAGTATCCTCTTGTCTAGACGTGATAACTTGCACCACTCCCATCGCCTCTGTCGCTAATTCGCTGTCTCTAGTCTGGTGACTGACGCCACCAGTCGCGCCACCAGTCGTGTCCATTTCTGCATCACCCAAGCCGTCTTCGAGTTCAAGACCACCAGCTACCTTGGAAATGGTACTGTACTCACCATGCTTGAAAAGGGTGGCAACATATCGCAAAGCCTTCATCGCTGCTCGGTACTCCACCATCCCCAATCCACTCAAGTGCTCACTAATTGCAGTTGCCACAAAATTTGCTTCGCGGAACTTCCGGTTGGAAACCCAACACATACTGGCCTTCTTCAACACTCTGGACACACGAAACGGTTCTTCTGACAGTTAAAGCAACTCGTATTCCACCCGAAGCGACGACAGTAACCAACGAGAATCCAGAAGCTGGGTAGGAATCACGTTCTCGAAGTTGAGTGCCTTCCGAATGAAGAGCACGTGGCGACACGGCAGCAAACGTGAAGCCATGAACAAACACGAACAAGACCAATCGGTTTTCGTGACGGAGTACTCGCTATGCGGTTCATTCAATGCCTCTTCATCGTCCGCATCGCACTGGATAAAGTATACTCCGGGGACTGCCTCGTGAAAATTATACCTCGCCGTGGTGATCGCGAAGTTGTACTGCTCGTACACAAGCTCGCACGCGTGCTCGCTTACCAGCTTCGAGAGAAAATCCATCTCGTGATGGTACTTCGGATGATGCACGACAGATAGTTTGTAGACGTCCTTAAATTTTCTCTCCGCCTGAGCTTGATAACCATTATCGAAACAATGCACTCGTCCACTTGCATAAAGGAGTCCACAAGCTCCTCCAGGTGCTTCCACGAAGCTTTAAGGCGGTTATTTGTATTGTTGCCGAGGGTGCAAGCATTCTGCCTTTCAAACGCGCACCACATTTGACGACACTTATCCCAGTTTTTTTTTTACGAAATACACTTCAAAAGGGTGCTTGCACGCTTCACGCGGTTCGCCATCCGCGCCCAACTCCGCCCAACTGATGGCCAACTGGACACCATCCGTGCCCATCTCCGTCTGACCAGTGCCCAACACAACATCCCCAGACCTAGCTTTCTCAGATGGTACTCTTCCAGTCCCTGCATCGATAATATGGCGCATATACTCGCGCAAGCGCAAGTATTGTCGCTCCGTTTTTGCGTAAACCAGCAAGTTGATCAATCCGTTCAGTTGCTGCTTCTGCCAAGCATTGAACCCATAGTCTTTTGATGCTATCTGCTCTCGCAGATATTTCAACACGTGAAACCGGCACAACAGCAACGCCGCGTCCGGAAACGTTTTCTTCAACACGCCGATCTCGCCGAAATCTTTGTCGATCAGTATGCATTTGATGTGCGTCCACGCCGGATTGTAGCGCTTGAACTGCTCCAGGGCCGTCAGAAGCGTCTGGTTACGCTCGTTCTGGAGAACAGCATGCTGTACGAACTGGCCCTTCCCAAATGCGTCGTGTGCCATAATCGAGAAAACCTTGTAATTTGACAAGTTTGTACCGTGCGTGGCGTTGATCATCACGACCTCTGGGAAATGGTCGAAGAGCTCCCGCATATGCTTTGTCTGTAGTGTTATACATGTAGCTACAGTCTAACATCAGCATAGAAAGTTAAACAAGCGACGGCTACACAGTAACAGCAATAGTGTTCATACCTTATCATGGATTGAGTCGACAAAAATGCCTCAACATTCCCTAGCTCTTGCGTGAACTCAGTCATCCATTGCTTCAATCGTTTTGCAGATGTCTGAGCTGTATGGGTCTGTTTCTTCAGCTTGCGCACCAGATTGTGTACGTCCTGGCTCGTTGGGTAGCAGCTAGAATTCTCGTGGATGAACTGCAGGATGCGTTTCTTCTTGGCTCCGGCTTTGACAAGCTCGCTAACAGTCTTGGCCAGCTCAGACTCAATAGCTGTCCGGTTGTGTGGATAATGGTCGAAAGTATGTCTTGAGAGCGGATGGTTATGCTCCAAACGGGCAACAGCAATTCGCAGCACAAAAGTGGGAACTGCTGCAGCCGAGTCGGTCACTTGTACGCAGGCATTGATCTACGTAGTGATACAATTGCACGTGAGCACATGCATGGCCAACCAACAGCACCATTCAAATCCATTTCAGTCCATCCGAGCCCAACTGAGCACAACTGAGCCCAACTGAGCCCAACTGAGCCCGACTGAGCCCGACTGAGCCCGACTGAGCGTCACACACCTGCGCGTCACACTCGAGAGCTCTCGACTCTTGCCGCTTTCTCTTGCCTTGTCCACGCGGCTTGTACTTCCCTGCGTGGGTGCAGACGAAAGTCTTCGAATAATGAGTCCACCCATCGGGCACAAGCGGCTTCGTAGACCCGGAGTCTCGAATCTTCTTATTTCTCGTCACGACCTTGTTGTTAGTGCGAACGCGGAAGCTCTGTACGCAGCAATTGTACGCACAAACCAGTTAGATAATGCGATATGGCTCCTGCTACCATATGCAGTGCATCAAACGTTACCTGGTATGTCTCGGCTAAATAGACTTTTAGATACGCGTCTAAGGCAATTAAACTCTTTCTTCTCGAGTGACGGAGCTATCACCACTGGCTGCTCACCGCTCTGGATTGTCTGGAGACTGTCGGAAACATCCGATCGACGCTGCTTGGACGTGGAGCTGCCGGTACCCGACAACTCCGCTGACGAGTCGAACCGCTCCTCGTCGCTGTCGACCCCCTCTTCACTATCACTCGCCCCTCCTCCGTGGCGCGGCGGTCGCACCGCCGCTTTGACGCGCAGGTCGGGCGCCATGGCTTCCTGGCTGCTGCTGATTTGCCCCCGCTGCAAAAATGAGTGGGGGGGGAAAAGTATACGCTACACGAGGTATACCCGCAAGCCGGATGCGGATCTCAAGCCCTCCAGCACTGTCCCATGTGCACGAGGTGGGTGCAGCACTCACTCCCTTTTAAATTTGGGCTCCTCGAGCTCCCAATCTAAGTAGAACTTCTGCAGGGCAAAGACATGTACAGTACTGCACTCCGTTTTCGCGGGGGTGTATTATATAAATTTTGTGAATAAATAACATTTTAGCTTAATCAGCTGAGTTTTGTTTTATTTTGGATCATCGAATCCGGAAGTTTATCAAAGGTCCAATTTTGGATCATCGAATCCGGAAGTTTATCAAAGGTCCGAGGACTCGAAAACGGGGTGCAGTACTGTACATTGTACTGGTTTATTATCGTACAGTACTGGACGATTTTCAGAAGAGGTTTGCATTTGTATTATGATATTACGAATATCCTTAGATGTGTCGCAAGCCCTTGCTATTACTAGTAGTAATTAATACGAATTCATACTTCTTCATGCTATTTAATAGGAAGTGAGTATTTTGCCCGACTGGCTAACCGACTATACAATTATACCCCCACAACATGCATAAAATGGCCTTAGCGACGGTCTTGGCAACACTCGCTCGGAATTAATTTCTAATCCCAGACACAGCGCCTTGCCGAGTCGAGGACTTAGAGGCCGGGGTGGGGCAGGCCGCGCAGCGGCGCCCCCCGAGCGCAGCGCAGCAAGTGAAGAGAGGGGCGGGCCCACGGCTATAAGTCCGCAGACGAGTGTAAACGCGCTAGTGTCCTACCTTTACTCCAATTTAACCGTACTCTACTATTTGTACACGTATAAAATGCGATGCTATGTTACCTCAGTCGGGCAAAATAACGAGTGCCAATTTAATATCAAGACGACACATCGAAGGATATTAAATGTCAATTGAATGTAGTACATACTATGTACTACATGTATTATCCTTAGATGTGTCATGCCAGTTATAATACGAATTGGTACAGCACACGGACTGTTTACTGGCTCTTTCGATCCAGGTGTTTGAGCGTTTCGCCTCTTTGTGATCCACCTTTTCCTTTATTTACTTCATTCGCAATTCTACCCGAAGGTACTAACCCCACCACTACTCTTTTCCACCAACTATGCGACTGGCAGCTTTTGTTTTGGTGGCTGTAGCATTTGCGATCATTCCTGATGGACGAGTCTCCGCGGCAGCACTCGGACCTCCCGAGAGCAGTGAAGGTACTCACGAAACAGCAAGATTGTTGCGGTTGAATGCTGTGCCACAGCCTGTGGAAACCGGCAACCAAGAAGAAAGGACAATTAACTTCGCGTCGATTAAGAAGATTGTTCCGGGTATAGCGCCTTTAAAAACGCACAAGCACTTAAGGCGTCTCAAAAGGCAGCACTGAAGGCCCAGGATGCGGCTAAAAGGAAAGCTGCCGTTGACAAGTGGTTCAAACAATTCGAAAGCGATGAATTTCTGTTTACAGCTGCGTTCCCCTCTTGGGCCGGAAAGAAAATGCACCCCGACAAAGTCCGAGAATACTTCGCTTCGCTTGGCAAGTCGGGCGATGACGTCAGTACGATCGTCAAGCGTTACGACAATTATTAATACCGCCAAACAATACCCACGAAGAAGTAGAATTTTACGCACGCCTCACCCTAAGACCACGGGATTATCGCTAGTAGAGAGCTACAAGTAGTTCAACAGCTGAAGTTCGTTTTGAACTCCCCCCTTTGTCCCATTTTTCAGTGTTTGTGTAGCGACAGAAGAAATAAAGCAACTTGACTACAAGACCGTATTATTCTGATGCAGGTTACCCGCCCCGTCAATGCTTTTCTATGGTTGAACTTCTACAGTACATGTTAAACCCATTGAATATACAGGCCGTAAGACTGGTGCTCGACAACACTGTAACTTACTACAATTAACTACTTTTCAAGTGATATTATCCAGAATCGGGTGCCTGTACATGTAGTTGCTGGCGCAGTCCAACCTTGCCCACTGTACTGGGCCGCACAGAACGTGAGGCCAAGCTAATTGAGGGATTGTACACAGGGCCTCCGAAAATAGCATTGTCAATAACATTATCTCTGAATTTAACAATAAGCTATGTTTATTTTTGGAAATTGGAGAGTTGCAAATTTATGGAAACACACTACAAATATTCTTTTTTATGGACTGGGCCGTGGGCCCACTTGAAGGTTAAAGGCTCCGCTGATGTCACAGGTGACGTTACTGTTTTACTTGCTAGCAATAGTGAGACAACGTTTTTTGCTTAAATTCCTAATTAAAAAGGAAAACCTTATGAGGTTTTATTACAGGTCCGACAGCTGTGACACCCCTCCTCACGGACCGCGCTTATAAATACATGGCGTGCAGGCATGGAGACCCAACGCATTAGAAACGCTGGAAAATGTTGTCAACTCACGAATGTTTCAATGGTAGACGATACTACATTAAATATGAACAGGACGTTCAATAATCATTTTAATCTTAAGTACTACTATAACACAAGTATTTAAACAAGAGGGGTGTTCATCAATACACTCCTGGACACAATTATACGGCCACCCAATCTTTTGCCTATAACTTTTTTCTACTGGGAGTTAGTAAGTGCTGTTTAGATATGTGCTGTATAGTACCGAATAAAACATAGTTACGATGAGAAACTTGCGGGATTCGAGCTGCGAAGGAGGCGCCTATACAAAAAAAATGAATTGTTAGGTCGGACACAATTTACGGCCACCACCAAGTATACAAAAACCAAGTCAGATGAAATGAAATGATTACGTCATTACGATTAGTAGTGCGTCTTGTTTCCTTGCTTCGCAATGACTTCAATGCAGCGCTTAGGCATCGAGTTTACAAGCTTCACCAAATAAGACGCGTCTAGTGCATCCCACGCTACGAGAATCGCGGCTCTTAGTTCAACTAGACTATCATACTGCTTACCATTGTGGTAAACAATACTAGCCATCATGGCCCACACGTTCTCGATCGGATTCAGATCAGGCGAACGGGAAGGCCAGTCAAGAAGGGTAATGCCTTCCTCGTCAAAGAAATCCATTGTGAGCTTGGGTCGGTGGATGGAGGCCTTATCCTGCTGGTAGATGTAGTCAACGCCGTGATGGAGGTGAGCAAAAAAAGCATATACTCTGGGTAGGAGAGAATGCGTCCTACTAGGAGTCCTAAAGTGTCCTATTGTCCTAAAACCTGGGATAAAAAACTAGCAATTCGGCTCATAAAAAAACCGATATTTAGGACAACACAATGAGTTTTAGGACGAAACAAGCCAGGGTCCGCGTGTCCTAATAGGACACTCGACAACTGGACACTCAGCTGTCCTATTAAGACAGACTGCAACTCAGACCACTGTCCTAATAGGACAACACCAAGCCCAACATGTACTGTCCTCAAAACATCCTCAACTGGCCTAGCTAGAAACAATAATCATCTTAACGCCCCTCTCTCCAAGAGCAGCCGACTCTTTGTCAACAAAGAGAGAAGTTTCGTTGAGGTGCTTTTCGCGCACAACAAAGTTTTTGTGCGCGAAACGATATAGGGGGGGCTCAAAAAGCAGCAAAGTACTCGCAAGGGATACTTGGCTGCAAGTCGATCCGAAGACGCGGTTAGCAAGCGATGGGGGTCTTGGTTAGCGCGGCAGTGTGCTCGGCCTGGTTCGTCGAGTTGTCTGGCGTCGTCGGGGTGTCGACAACAGGTGCGTTTGTGGCAGGCGAGTCCGGGCTTGGAGCCGACGTCGATGAGCAGTTGGACGGCACGTAGACTACCAGGTCGGCCTTCAGGTTGTGGAACTGACACCGACCGGCAGTTGGCACTCCTCCAGGTTCATGGCCTTCACGTCAGCGAGCAGGGTGTTGCAGGCAGTCGAGGCGCACATCTTGTCAATGGTGGCCTGGTCCGGGATCTCAGTGGTCCGTGCCGCACTGTTGAACGTTCGCTCTCGTGAGCAGAGCGGACAAGACATTGCTTCCGCAGGTGGCAGCAGAGGCCAGATAGACGAGCGCCCTAGCTGCAGAAGGAGTAGCCGCGATGGCCCATGATGCTTGGAGAGATTCAGAAATGGTTGGTGTGCCCCAGGACAATAAGTAAAGCCAATGTGAGTTTTAAGTAACTCTTACGTAAATTTACGAAGATAGTCCGGAAAAAGTTATTATTTGAGGTTTAGGACAATCTGGAGGACACAAATTATAATATTCTGTAACGAAGGATTAGTCGCTTTTTAGGACACATCTCCAAAATCTCCCTGTAAAATTTAGGACAAATAGGACAGTTTAGGACGTGTCTTAGGACGCATTATCCTACACCTATACTCTGACACAGTAAAGATGTAGTGTTCCGACGCTTAACGCCCTTCCAGTATTGCTAGCTTCGGCTTCCCCGCGGAGCTGAAGCTATCCCAAACCATAACAGATCCACCTCCATTCTGACGGCGAATCGTCTGTCTTGCGGGGCGGAGCATATCGCGCCAGTAATGACGTAGACCGTCGGGTCCGTCTAGATTGAACTTCTTCTCGTCTGAAAATACAATCTGAGCCCACATGTCCGGATGCACAATCATGCGTATGGCCCAGTCGAGGCGAGCCATCTTGTGCTGTTCCGTGAGAGGAAGTGTATTGTCTATCTTGGTGTAATCTAGCCAGTCCACCACGGAAAATAGTCGGCGGATCGTTCGTGCCGTACACGGGCAATGTGGAGCTGAAATTTCCAGTGGAGACTTTCCTGACCACGCGACGCGTCTGACGCTTGGAGAGTGAGGGCTTTCTGCCTACAGCTCGAAGGCGGCGGCGGTGCTTGTGCGAGCGCTTCAGTACGCGCTGAACACAGTCTCGAGAGCGCTTGACTATCTTGGCAATAGCGCGTCCGCTGAGGCCTCCTTCACTTAGTCCTAGCATCCGGCCGCGCTCGAGGTCTGTCAGCAATGGTCCCCGACCCATCCAATTTGGAAATGTGTACATGTAGTTAATGATGCTGTTGCATTCCGCCCGTTTGTCCGTATTTTACGATAAGCGACAACAATTAAGCTTTCTTTACTTTTATCAGAAGCATTAATATCAACTCAATTTTGTTTGGATTTGAGCTCTCCGTGTGGCAAATTAGATTATCTGACACGGAAGAAGAAGATGAGAGGTATTCTTTACACCAGCAGCCGCTGCTGCAGTGAGGCTTGTTTTTGAAATGGCTAATGATGGAGCGCTTGAAGCTTCATTAAATAAAAATCTGTAATTACATAATTTAGTTCTACTGATTCAACAATACCATCATATATTCAGTTACCGATTTACACATCATCGGAAATTTTGCGGAGTTTTATAGTCATAGATAAAAATGCCATATTCGGAGGCAAGGAGTAGCTAATGTGGGCAGTTTGGGTTTTGCCTCAGAGCAAGCAATAGACCAAGGTTAACGGAAGCCCTAGCTTCCCTGATACTGTGTTCGAGTTCGAGACCCACTACATTACTAGCCATTTGCAACCGAGGTTGTGAGCAAGCTGATCAAGAAGGTGAAAAAAAATTGAGGTACGTCGCGAGTGGGCAGAATCAAAAGCTCGCCGAGCTGTGGAGTTTGCTGACTTCTTGAACTTACTGCTTTTAGTTCGGGCTCGCTGGAAATCGGATGACTCATCATACTTGGTTAGCAGTGTGCTCACACTGCAATGGCATATTTGCTTTCGGATTGACGACATGATGAAGTTACAATTCGCAAACTTCTCACCTAACACACAATACCCTTCCACACTACTTTTGCAGATGCGGTGGTCAAAAATTATTCACGAAGAGCGAGATGCTCCAGAGCAGATCATTATTGGTAGCCTGGATCCCAAGATGTGTGTACTTCTCAACCTCGCTGTCCATATAGAGTCTACGTCAAGTGTCATGAGCTCTGAGTTTGTGTACGGCAATCCTAAGGACGGTGATCGTGTAGTTCGACGATTATTGACTAGCATGGTGAAGAACGACTCATTAAAAAAGTTCAAGACAGGAAAGCAGGGGATACATAGCCTTTGCAAAGGTGCTGCAACGTACGCGACTCGGAGTGGTATCTCAAAGGACTTTGTTAACCGACGAGGACGTTGGAAAACGCGCAAATGGGTTGTTGACGTCTACATAGACAACACCCAACCGTATCCTGATGCATTGACGGCAGCAACGTTAACAAGTCCAGAGGGGCCGTGCTTTTATAATATGCGGACTGGAGCTGGTCGCATTTCGACCGCTTTTCTCGTAGATCAGATTGCACCTGCCTTAAAACAGCTCATGAAAGAATCCATTGCAGCTACATTGGCATTGCCATTATTGTGGGCGGCGATGGAACCATCTGAGAACTACGAGTACGCTTTATTACCGAAAAAGCTACAGCAGAGTATTTTACGCACATTCGCTAATATTGCTGACACTTCAGGGCTAAATTCTGTTATTCGGGAGGGAATCTTCGTCACTGGCGATGGCTCGCAACTAAACCTCGTCATACTGGACAGCAGTGAGGGCCCTGGTCAAGAGAACAATGCAGTTGTTACACGTTCTGGTGGTAATGTGTCGGGAGTTAGTCGTCGCGAGTTCGCAGCACTGTACGCTCAAATAGCAGCAATTCGCCGCCATACAACGGATGAAATTCAGCAATTACGACGCGATATCCAGAGAGAGCTGCAAAAACCTCAGTCAATAGTTCGATGCGTTGTCATGCAGCCTAGCGCTCGTCGGGATGTCTCTGCCCACATTCCTGCCGGAGAAGTTCCCCCTACAAGGCAACGTGCAGCCCGACTATCAAAACGACCAAAGGATCTGTACGAACTATGGCATGAATATCAAGTTGGCTGTGCAGAATTGAAGGCAGCGAAGGACTTTACAGCAGCCGAACGTGGCGCTAACAAGTTTGCCTACTCAAGACGAAAGGTGTTTTGGGACGTTGTGTCAAGTCTGGCTCGCTCGGGCTTCACGAGTGACACAGCAATTGAAAAAGTGTATTCAGTTTACGGTAGACAGCTCTCTGTTTTAAACGTCTTGTCGGCTCTCCGTGCTGATCGTAGGCGCGGCAGACATCCCAATCTGCGTGTGTAGTGCAAAACTTGTAGTACATGTAGATGATCACGTACTTGTTGGTACCCTTGTTCCCTAATCTAATTTTACCCAATCAGAATCCTGTTGCAAACCGAGTTGCAAAACGTGCTGGTATTTATACAGTACCAAATTAGTATGTATCTAAAAGATATACCTAACCCCTGGGTTACCAGAAATCGAGTGTCGAGTCAGCTTAATTTACGTCGTAACTTACGACTTCATTTTAGTATAAATGTTTGTGTTGATGTGTATTTTCCACGTCAAGATGCACTGGATTCCCGCTATAAACTATCCCAGGATTTCCTGAGCTACGTCGTCAGAGTTACGACTTTGGATCCGCGTCATATCCTAGAAAACCAACACTTAAGGCTTACAAGCCGTTCTTTGTCGATATCAGATGTTTTCTTGCACATCAATACTGCTTCTGATTCAACAAAACATGAGCTATGATATTCGTTATGATCGGCTTTGAGCAAAAAACATGGACTATGATAAAAAAAGCTGATTTGCAGTGCAACAAGCTCATACGTTTGCTGATTGCTGAGCAGGCTGTTCCTCTTCATTGTCAGCGTCGCCGTCTTAGTGACCGAGCAGCTCACAAAGTGTTGGTTTGCGTGTGCCAACCTTGCCCGATCGCCGCAGAACGACCCACTTACCAAGCGATGCTGGAATAGACGCTCCGCTGTCAAAGTCCTCATGCTATATTTAATAACACGTCTTGCGAACACCGCCGTCCAAATGTCGCGACTTAGGACAAAGGAAGCACTTTGCGTCAGTCTGGGAGCAGTCTTCGCAGAAGTAGGTTGTCTGGAACGATTTTTGCGGTCGCCACGGAGGAGAGCACATACTTTGCAGGAACGTTGCCTTCGTTTTAGGACACCTGAAACAACGACCCAGTCATCGAGCTGGACGTGTTTGTGCCCATTCAACAGAGGTCGTTTGCGAGAGCGAATCTTAGGTGTCGGGGCAGTGGGTTCCTCAAAGTCTTCGACTTTAAGCTGTAGTAGTTGATAATGTAGGAGAAGATAACATTCTCCATGGGGTTTTGGCACTAGACGCTTGACTCGGCATGTTTCCTTGTGCGTCAGATATGCATTGGCCAGTGCCATGTCTACAAACCCAAGGAGTAGTGATTTGTAGTACTTTTAAAAACGGAAGGGTGTCTGGATCGAATAGGACTGTAGGCGGAGTTGATCATGGACATCAACTCCGCCCATCCCTCATGGTAACCCGTAACGAGCTTTGGACATCTTACAGTAAAGGTCCCCACCCTCTTGATGTTGCGATGAATCGAGTCCTCCGCCATGATCGGACCCGTTGCCAGGTAGTGCACTGGTTTTCAATCCCACCAGTGACACGCAACCATGGTCGGGATAGCAACAGACCGTGAAAAGGCAAAAGCGCCTCTCTCAACTGCACGAGGACGCGACTTGCGGGTCTCAACAACTGGCTCATCGAATCCTAGTCGATTTGTCATGATCGTACCCACCACGTAGATACTTATTGACAACAGCCGAATAGCTAGTGGAACGGAAGCGTAGAATCTGTCGGTAACGACAAGCCGAAAGCCTTGTGATCGTTATCTCAGCAAAGCCTTCATGTTTCGAGCAACGGCTGCTGCTCCCGTCTTGTTGTCGAATGCTTGTTTATCTATATCCCCACTATCTCGCTTCCCAACGTACACCTCGAATCTATAGCAGTAAGTTACGACGAAAATGTCAATCTTCAGCTTTCACGTCATAAACTACGACATAGTAAAAGCGTACCGGTGACAGTACGCACTGCTAGAGTCGCACACCATGAACAGCTTCGTACCTTAAACGATGAGGTTTACCAGGCATAAACATACGCGTCGAATGAAAACTTACTGCCCAGTGTCCAGCCTGATTGAAACCGCGATTGCAGCACTTCGACAACAGGTCGAAACTTCCACATCTTGTCCCGAGTACGTGGAGCCTCGTTGTTCACGACATGAAGGTCACGAAGGATAGATGTGCATCGATTTCGAGCCGCAAACTTGCCATAGTTACCAGCACCGCTCCGTCGTCCGTCATTGCACAGTGCCTGGAAAAGCGACGCGTCATTGGGCTCAGCATTCTCGCCACTAAGAGGACAATAACATGAAGCATCTCATGGGGCTGGTCTGCAGGCCCCGCACGCAAACGCCATTCGATCTGCTTGACTATTCCAGGGGTCGCAGTGCTGCGCTTCTGCTGCAGCGTCCGAATTCGTTTTGCTCTAGCTTGCTTTTTGTAACGATTCGTCTCTTTGGTAATGCTCACCCACAGTGATTATGGTAGAATGTAGAACAGTACCATCATTGGGAGTCGGACAATTCCTGTAGCTCACGCGCTGGAGCGGCGACATCAGTAGACAAAGCAGGGTACTCGCCAATACCTGTCTCAAATCTAACGGACGGTGTGCTTCACTCAAATCTTCGAAGTGCGTCCTCGTCTATTGTGTCAAGCGTCAGTGTGCCTCCCAATCCTTCCACAAATGCGTCATCCATGTGAGCAATTTCCTCGCCAGGCACAGGTGCGTCGTCAGGATACTCGCGGCGCTCAATGATATCATCACCACTGTTGTCACTATTTTCGCTGCCACTGGAATCGATGGTTTCATGCTATCTGACAGCTCTCCATCTACCATGACATTGACGTCGTCGGTCGGTACAGCGACCTGGGCTTCGTCCTCCACACTACCACCGTCATTCTCACTGGCGCCTTCACAGTCTCTCCCGTCGTTGTCATCAGAATTGTTTGACTCAGCTCCAGATAAAAGACGCTGGAACGCCCCCACAACCATGTCCTTGTCAGACTGCTCCAGCTGGACAGGCTCGCCGGGAGTCGCTGTCCGAGCCGAACATTGCTGAGATAGTGTTCTGCGACAGCGCAATAGACGTGCCGATTTGTGAGGCGGTCACAGGATTCTCCATTGAAACAACATCGTCTTCGCTTGCCTCCTACTCACTCTCACCACTCCCGCTCCTAATGAGCCCCGATTCGATTGCAAAGGTGACCACGGCATCCTCGTTTACAAATTTCAAATTCATTAGTAAGAAAAATGTTGAAGATAACTCAATAACGCACCAACGAGCGACTGCAAATTCAGGGACGTATAAGTCCACTAGTTTGTGAGCCGGGAAGGTCTCTTCGATGTCCAGCCCCCGGAGCGTAGCTGCCGCCATATATGCTTGAAGTCGATGACGCACACGTCCATCATACCTGCAACCGCTGCTTGCTTCGTCCTCGAGCTGGATCGTACTCTTGCCATCGTGGCAAATTTTGGATTGAGGTCCACTCACTAACCGTCCGCTTGCGATCTTGTCGGTGCTGCACATCTATCCTTACCCTACCCTTTCTTTGACTCTTGCCGATTCGACCTCTTTCGGCTTATATATTTTTGCCGCAGAAATTGACTTGATTAAAGTATCGTGTCCTCTTTTTTTAGAGCCGTTTCCTATTTGAAGCCGCTCACTACGTCGTAACTTACGACTTTTGCCCTCATCAAAGTCGTAACTTACGACGTTGGTAACCGAGAGGCTAAGCACTTTACTATACGACCGATTCTAAAAGAAGAAATAAAGGACGCAAGAAAGAGAAAAAGTTGAACTAGTGTGGCCTCTACTAGATTATGTGCTATAAGTTGATACGCGGAGCTTTCCAGCTACTACAGTGCTGATGCGAAGTTGTAACATGGCTTGCAGGCTTGTTCACACCAGGAATGAGCTAAACATAATATCAAGGGAAACGCTAATTAAGTCAAGCACACTTAAGCAGAACTTTCGTTTACCAATACAAAAGCTAGTTACCTTCGCAGAAACTGCATTCACCCCAGCGCCGCACGGAACACGACCCACACAACCCAGTGCTTGTATCAACGCGATTCTCGTGATATCGCTGTATCCAGCTGACGCACGAGACGCCCATGCACATACCTGCCATCTGATTTGTTAGCTCTCAAAATCGACACTGAAGAAGCTCGCTCAGCGTACGCTGATACTGTAGTAGATATCGATACGATACAAATTTCAAAAGAGCTGGTCTTATTTTCTAGCCAAACTCTGTAGAACTCTAAAAACTTCATTTTTGCAAAAATATTTCGCAAAGATATCATGAGATATAGCAAGGCAAAGTGTCAGTTTCGTAGCCTCGACCAGTTTAGTAGCCTCGATGTTTTTACCTGTTAACCCTTTAAGCCCTGAGGTTTTAGAGACCCTCCGAGGGCCTCTAAAAATGCAAATCACGAGCATCTATTGGAGCAAAATAGTATACGAAAGGTCACGTTGGGATGCCAAGTCGGGCAGAAGCCCTCACGGGACCTCTTAGAAGGCCAATCAGACGTGTCGCGAAGGTACGACCAGGGTGGGCGACGTCCTTCCCCCCTTGCGCGATCAGAATCATTCTTGCATTTCAAGATCTGACTTGACGAGTAACATGGACATCGAGTTATTGCTTTCAGAATGGGAACCTGAAGGGAACGATCGCCACGGGTCACAAGGAAATGAAAACGACAGCGAAGAAGAAAGCAAAGGCGACGATGCTGAATGCGTCGGTAGGGATGATGGCGCAGTCGGCGGCACGATGATCGGTCCTCGAGTCGACCCAGACATTCTCCGAGTTGGCCAGCGCTACATTGATGGGCTGGAGGCTGAAGGTGGTATCACCTTGCTCCAAGAGGAGAAGGCTATGCGTGCATTCCGGGAAAAAGGCATACTGGGTCTATTTGCGCTGTTCTTCACACGTAAGTTGCGCAGCACACTACTGCAGTGGATCAACCCTCGTCTTCGTGAAAACGGTACACCAGACATCACACTTCGGGAGCTGAACGCGTATATTGGCCTTGAGATTGCCACAAGCCTCTGCCCTCTCAACCGTCTTCGGGATTATTGGTCTACAAATGAGCTCTATGGCCACCCTCTTTTCCAGTCGACAATGCAACGAGACCTGTTCCTTGGAATCCGAGCAGCGATTACGCTGCACCCAACGGATACGGTGCCA